TATATATATATATATATAAACATTGGAAAAAGTGTTAACTAGTTTTCTGTAATTTAACACCAAGGTAATAAAATTTATTTATTTTTTTTTTAAAGTGAAAAAATAAAAACATTCAGTGCTGGATTTATGATGTTAATAACTGAAGAAATGCAGTCTGTTAAAGGGTCCATTGCTTGGAGTTGTGTGGAGCACATTTACTTTGGTCATTTTTGAGCATGATAGTATGAATCACTATCCATTTTCTTTGTATGGAAAAGAGCAGCTTGCACATTCTACCTAACATCCCATATTTTCCATTTACGAATGAATTAAGAAAATAATGTGGGTTGAGCAAATTATGATAGAATAATAGTTTTTGGGTGAACAATTTCTGTAATTCCTGATTCATTTGACAGCTGGATAATTTATACGAATCAATATCCATCTGCAAGACAGACCTGAGTTCCATCGACAAAGCAATTAGCTACACAGCGCCATTCTCTAGCCTTCATTCATTCATAGACTAACTGTTACAGGTCAATGGCTGAGTAGTACAGTTACTTAAGAGAGCACAGCAGGTGGCAACTATCGATCGCTGCTAACTGACACTTCGGTGAACGGAGTCCACGGGGCACGCACCTCATTGAAGTGAGTGTTGATATACTCTCGTGTGCGAAGGTGAAGATCGGTGCAGCCGATCTCCTCGGCAAATCTCGAGATGCCTATGACATTTGATGGCTCCAGGTTCTTCATGAGGAAATCGCAGCATGCTTTGGCCACCTCTTCCATCTGATAGCGCATCGCAGTCAAGAGGACGTGAAGAACACACTTCTCGCCCACTGTTATACGGGAGGTGTAGGCAAAGTCAATGAGGCGGCTGATGACCTGAGGGCACACGTCTCGCAGGGTGACCTCCGAGGCATGGCATTCCTTGAAGTTACTGGTGAACATGGCTTTGAAGTAAGGACTGCAGGCAGCCAGCACCAGTTTATGCACCTGGGGTAAAAAAAACAGGCAGGAAACACCTGAAATTAAATCATGAGAGCCGTATGTGCCGTGTTCTCGTAATTACAATCAAATGCCTTAACATGTACTAACATAATTCCACACTTGTAATGAGGACAATTTATCTTTGTGCACTGTAATTTGCAGTGCCAGGGACATACCATATTAAAAATAACTATTACACGCTGAACCTGTTTCTTGATATTCAAGCAGTGAACGCTATGTAGTTTACTATACTAAATACTAGAGAAGAAAAGGGATGTGCTGATATTAAATCTAACTGATATAATAAGCTCCTTTTTTGTATTGTTAAAGGCAATACCTTATATATGGATAATATTAAAATTCTGTCTAAATAAACTAAAAATAAAACACTAAAACCTATAAACATTAGAATGTACAATATGAAGAATGCACAAACATATTTTTTGAAGCACATAATAAATTACACAGGCCCTTTTATAGCAATAATTTAATGCTTGTGTGTAATATTTAATTTTATAATAATGTTTGCTTTTGTACTTTGCATAGAAAATATACACTACCATTCAGAGGTCGGTAAGTTAAATACTTTTATTCCGCAAGGATGCATTAAAATGATCAAAAGTTAAAGACATTTACAGTATTGCAAAATATTTTTATTTCAAATAAATGCTGTTCTTTTGAACCTAAAGACTCCTGGGAAAAAAATGTTTCTTGAACAACAAATGAGCATGTTATACTGATTTCTGAAGAATAATCTGATATTGAAGACTGGAGTAATGACTGCTGAAAATTCAGGTTTGCCATCACAGGAATAAATTACATTAACACAATATTAAAATAGTCATTTTAAAATCTAATAATATTATACAACATTGCTGCTTTTACTCCACTTTTGAATAAATAAATGCAACCTTGATAAGTTTGCAGAGACTTCCTTAAAAAAACTGAAAAAAAAACTTACTAGCCTTAAACTTATGAACTCTAGTGCATATGAATGCCGTTTTACATTTTTAATAACTTTTGAGTACTGATTCACAAATGTAAGTAGTTTAATCTGTTCATACTGGACTTAAATGTATCATAATCCACCTCTCTGTAAATCTAGAAATCTTTACGTAATAAATATTTGTTGCAAAATATTTCAAAGCTGTCAGTCATGTATAATCAATTATGAGACAGTGCTTTCTCACAGGTCAAGGCCACACAGTCTTATGAATAACTGAGATACTGATGTAGACGAGCACTGTACAGTGCATGGAAAAAGTCTGTGATGTTGATTCAAACCCAGTCAACCAAAATAGCCCCGAAAAACCTAAGTACCTAAAAATACTGTCTATTAACATTGTTCTCCATTATGCAGTTGTTAACTGTGAGATACTTAATTCCATTAAAGCAAAAAAAAAAAATTGACCTGTGCTGAAACAGTAGGTCTCATTGCACTTTAAGTAGAATAAAACAGCTTTTCTATGGCATTGATCCTTTTAAACATGCTATTCAAGCATTCTTGCACATTTGCAACCAAATTCCATATCGCTTACCTTAAAATCCACTATCTTGTCTTTGTAAGTTACATGTAGAACCAGATCACAGAGCAACTCATGATGGCGGAGCTCATCCATGATCTGCATGGCTCTAAAGGGATGACTTTCAACTGTGTAATCCAAGTAACCATGACCCCTCATGGAGGGCACCACGATGGCAGAGAAATCCTCATCTTTGATGGGCCTCTTCTTTCTTGGACATATCATTCTCCGAGACCTAGAATGTCACTGATATAAGTAGGAAATGGATGGCGACTGCAGTGGAACAATGTCTAAATCCATCCACGTGTCATGAAGAAATAAAGGCACAACTGATGATCGCTTGGGGATAGAGAGCCATGTTTCTTCTGCCTGGTTAGAAGTCCACCATACCAAGTTTCTGTATCAAGCCAAGTTGGCATTGTTGAAATATTACACGCTGTTTCCCTTAAATCAGACAAATGCTGCTATTTGCCTTGTATAGATGAGGTAAAAAGTTTTTTTATTTTTATACTCTAGAGGATGTACAAGCAAAGTTATCTTAAAGTTTATTTTAAGCACACACATTAAAAATGCAATATTCTTTTCTTCCAAGAGGTTATTGTTCTCTGAGATGGTTCGAGCTCTTTTCACCCTGTGAAAAACAGAGATACAACATTGAGAAATGTTTTGTTTATCTCTCCAGTGCTTTCATTGTTTATCAAATGCATAATTGAATATAGCCAAGATGATCGAGGAAGATATCTTAGATATAAAACTAAACAAACACTACATGGAACAGGCGATATACAAGGAATACAATGGCAGCATTACATAAATCCTTAAGAGGCAATTTCTGCTATAACAATGTGTACATGAAACTGTCTTTAATTACAGTCTATGCTGACAGTTGCACAGACTTGGCTGAATCAGGTTTCACTTCCCTATTCATTGACGGATGTCAAGTAGACTTAAAAAAAAAACGAAAACAGCCAAGCCACACCCTTATTCACAGACGCAACATGTGATTTCCTGCGTTATACAGACAATACTTTGAAAACCATGCTTGTGGCACAACTGGAATAGTTGGAATAGTGTATCAAAAGACCTTTGTGCACACTAACATGGTTTTCAAGTGAGGGCCAAAGTCTCTGTTGTTGATCAGTCTAGAAGTTGTTGCACATCAGAAGCTAATTTTTTTCATGGGTTATGTAACGTCCCACACTTGCAGGTCATCTCTGCTGCTCTTATTGCACAATCCAGAGTGCTGAGGACACACTTATTTGTCTTAAAGCAGGGTTTATCACAAGACAACACTGCCAGCAACGGCTTCTTTTAGAACTAAGAGAGCATCTTCAGTCATGGCCTCCATCCCTCATAAAGGCTCATTGTGTCAAGCTCCCACATGCCATATTTCTAAGCCGGACTTTAAAGAGAACGTTAACATGCTGTGCTGTGCACATTAGTACCATGGCTTTGGTGGGATTAACCATTAACTCGCTGAGTGTCAGGTTATTTGAAAAATTATAGAACAGAAAGTGAAAAGCTGGAACTTTTTGTGGAAGGTGCTGCCAGGTGAACTTTTGTTCTGGTTAACTACCATGTTGAGCTGTGGAGGATGATGCAATTAAATGCATAGTCATTATCTGTCTAGCCTCACGTCGTTCGAAGCCTACATACTGTGTCTATGGAACAAAACGGTTGACATTTTTGAAGTACCTTTACACTGCAGTTTCTATACAATGGCTATGTTTACATGTACACCATTAGTCAGGGTGAGGAATTACTTGGATTAAGATACGTTTACATGACACAGGCAAACCCCAATTTTCAATCCTGCTTTTCAAGGCTACTTTGATTACTCGCTAATAAATGTGGTTTTATCTGTACCTGTTCACTTGTTCCCCAAACTATAACATTAAATGTTTAATTCAAATACTGTTTGTTGCTGGTTTCATTTGACAAATGCAAAAATGTTCTAGAGTAATAAACCTACCTCATTCGTATGCAGCACTAGCACATGTACACTTGCTGCTTAACTAGTAATAAAAATGTGTCAAATTCTTGAAACAATATTTATATTGATATATTGATATTTATATTATATATACCGGTATATGAAATACATTTTTGGGATGATCCAATTAATGAGGTTTAGCGTGCTTTCCTCTACTTATCAATGTTTTCATTTTATTTGGCCTATATATTCATTCACTATTTTTATTAGAAATTTATAAATAATATTTATTTTATTTTCATTAAATTTATTAATTCATTTTGCTTTTCCTCTGGTTTTTTCCTCTTGTTTGGTGGTACATGTGAAATTTTCTGTAAATAGTACATTTCTGTCAATTTCCTGCTCTATAATGCTCTCTGAAAGTGTTTGTACATTATCATTTCTGTTTCTTTAATAAAAAAGCACACTTTGGCAAGAGTGCAATAAATGCGATTAAAGCATATACACTCTCATATAAGTGTGATTAAAATGTGCATTTTACTGCAATTATGGTTACTCAGATTATAAGCATAATCACACTAACATAATCACAGTATCCTGTTTACATGAGCTCCAACTTAACCGCAGTACTGCTCTAACTGCATTATAGGAGTGCATGCAAATGCAGCCAGTTCATATAGTGGCCACATCTGACAAGCTCCAAAAAGAACAGAAAACACAAAAAAGTAGTGATGTTACTTGTGTGCAGTATTCCTATTCTTTCAAAGTTATTCACTGATATTACTTTCCACCAAAAATCATGTCTAGCCTCTGATCATGTACAGACTTTAAAAAAAACTCTATGATATGTCCACTGTGCCTTGCAGTGTTTCTGTTCTTTATGGAGCTTGACAGATGTGGTCACATGAACTGATTAAAAAGTCTTTTAAAATTTTACTTTTGTGCTCTGCAAAACAAACAAGTTGGGAATTGCATGAGGTAAGTAAATAATTACAGATTTTTCAATTTGGGCTGGCTATGCCTTTAATAAAACAAAGTCCTCATCACTTATGGGATTTCCAAGGAGAGCGAGAGGGAGGGCGAGTGCGATTCCACTGTGTCACAGTTATATAGCTGAGGTCAGCAAGAGGACAAAACACCTCATTGATAACTGCACCATGACACATCTCCATTGCCCTGATAAAGAGTAAGTCAGTCTATGAGCAGTCTGGAAGGTGTTCATGACTACGCGGAAAACTGTGAATCATAAAGACACTGGGTACATGGCAGGGTGGTGATCACTGGCCTAGAATCAGGCTGATGTGAAATTCTTTGTTCAGATGAAGTTCTAAGTACTCTGAATTCCTTGCACAATGGTTGTAATCTACTAGTTATCTTGGAAAGAGTCAGATGTGCTCTGTCACACATGCACACACTATAGGAATGTACTGCAAAGTGACTCACAGAGAGATGACTAATACCAGTTCAAGTAGCTTAGGACAATAAGGATCACCTGATGGCCCAGGGCCAGTGAGTTTCGGGACAGTTGACTGAACAGTCAGAACAGTGCTGCAATTTGCCACTATGTCTTATGAGGTCCTGCCTGGTCACCCAGTTGGAGGTTTATGTCATAATAACAACCAGCTAATTGTACTTTATCCCTTACATAACGTCTAGCTATTATTGGTGAGTAAATAACTAATCTAACTAAACTAATCTGCTGCACATAAACTGAGGCATTACAATTTGCTGCTAAAAATACAATTTTTGGAAGCTCCAGTGAAAAATCTGAACTACTGCAGCAGAATGGTCTATAACATAATCATATGTGCACGTAGCACTTTAACCTGTCAAATCAGCATGGAAACAATTAATTCAAAATAACAGAATCATATAATTAAGCAATATCACACAAGCAAGAGTGCTGTTGTTCTGAACTTTAACTATCAGTTAGCGTTGAGTAACTTACATTTTAGACAATACTGCCAGTTACTTTGTCTATTTGTGCTTTGTCAATGAAAATAGCTGCAGTTAAAAAGGGGACAATCAACACAAAGCAGTTGTTTTATTATTAAATGAATCAGTGTTTTGAACTAGTTCGCTGAATGTATGATTTAATGATTTGCTCATAAAAACAGTTGCATGTCACCACCTACTGGCACAGCAGTGTCTCTCATAAATGGAAATAAAGTTGTAATGATTACAGCAAAAGGAAGCTTTGCTAAGCAGTTTCGCTTAACCGCATAATAAAAGGGTTTTTTACTCAAATAAAAAAATTTTTTGTTTTTTTTTACAATTAGTGTCCATCTAGTGGTCAAAAAGAACAACACCTACAAATCTGCTGTGCCCCATTACAGCCATAGCTTTTACATTTTATCTCTGCAAATAATACTTTATGAATTTTGTTTTTATTTATTTATTTATTAAGAGTCATTGTCAAAAGTGATTATAAGTCGTTTGGGTGTATTTACACTAAAAAAAATTAAAAAATCATAAAATTTGCAATGTCGATTTTGACATGTTTCATGTGAGCTTCACACAGGAATTACCATACTCAAACAAAAAAAAAACTAAATTAAAAAAGTCCATCTTTTACGCCAGATTGTGGTCACGTGGTTGTCAGCTCCAATATCAATCTCCAATATATTGAGTTTCGGTGTAAGACATAACATAGCTCCACGATCGCTCGGAACGGGTTTCTTGTACAGAGCGCAGAACATAGAAAACCCGGAGTAGACTTCAAGTTCAAGCCAAGTGATTGCAGAAAGCTTTGAGCGTGGGAGGGGCCGTTCCGCTCCACTAATACACACTGATCCAGTCCGGCTTTCAGCCTGAGCGTTGCTTGGTGACACCCAAATCTTGAAGCTTTGGCATGTTCGGAACTATTTTCGTTGGCTGAAAAGAAATATACGAACTAACTCGCCAAACTTTGTGTGAAACGTAAGTTACAGGATATTTATAACTACTGCATAATAGTACACTAGCAATCATGCTGGTCAGAAATCAGTAAAACTGATATTTACCTGCGGCCTGCGAGTCTGTAACGTTACAATGCTACTACAGAAGCACTGCTCGTGTGTGATATTGCTTAAGCATTATAAAGAACTGAACTACTCTGACAGTACTTTAATTTGGAGAAAAATACAAGAAGCACTCATTCAAGATGTTAACAGTTGTGACATCATCACCCCATGGGCTGGTTGTGGCAACCCTGATAAAATTGTGCTGATAAGGCAAGAAGCAAAATGACTTCTATTAGTTCAACAGCTGTCAAGCGCGCGCTTTCTAGTTAGTTCTGGTGTCCATCGACAACAATGTAACGCAATCCTCCATCTACACCCGCTAAAAGCACTCACCTTGTATCAGGAACCGGCGACAGTTCTTCACTTACTTCCACTTACGTACTGTCATAGGTGCTTTATATAAAGAACGACGCTGTTCGAATTAAAAAAGAGATGAATAAGTAAAGAGGGGAATGCCCTCCGCGCGCATTCACGAACAGAACGTTCCAGCAGTTGGCGCGTAAAACGTCAAAGCAAAACACACACAAAAAAATCGAAAGTTTGCTGTGTCGCGAAGCTCCGCCGCCTTCCAGCTGCCAACTGACTGTGTGAGGGCAAACGCGCGTACACGCCTTCACTCACGCTCGCGCGCGCTTCCAAACACACTCTATGAAGTAGGCTCGTGCACGCTCCCCAACGCGCACTCCCGCTGGCACCCGTCCAAACACAGAGTGCCATTGACATCAGCATGACTGTGCAACTCCTCTGTTCAGCTGAACGCCAGTGGGACCTAATGCAGGCTGACTGACAAATCGAAAGCAAAGATATCGAGGACTGTCAGTTGATCTCATTTGTCATTTAAATATACCTCTCAGATAATCCATCTCTGAATGCTTCACGGTCTGGAAAATTTGGCATGTTCTTTGCCAAAAATCCTTAAGGTTGTTATGCAAGAAGAACAGACACCCACTGGGAAACCCTCTTCCAAATCCTAGATGAAATTTGTATTTGCAGTGTATTTGTTTGGGCTTGTTGGGATTTTAATTGTCACTGAGGCTTCTGTGAGTCAGAATATACGGTGAGTGGCATTCCACAATAATGAACAAGCTAATCCACATTTCAAGCAGGGAACTTCAGTCTCATGTTTGCCCCTACAAACATAGTCATTAACAATGTTGACACAAACCTGTGCAGTAAAATTCCACAATTAAAACTGGAAAATGTTTAACAGAAATTAGTTACCTTCAACAATTTAAATTATTACTTAACAACTTACTCATACTATATTAGCTATGCATATGGCTATTACATATTATTATATGTAAAATGTTGCATATTTACATCCATACTATTAAGAGTCCATTCTCTTTTGTTATTGTTCTTATATAGCAATCAGATTTTATGGATCTCTGGCAGATACTGTAGCAGATCGTTTTACAGTCAGGATTCCTCCAAGGCTTCCTGAAGATCATATTCCTTGTTGGGTTACACCCAGGCCTTTGACCTTAGCAGCATTTGTGAGGTTTGTTTTACTGATTCTTGCCTTGTCATGGTCTTAAGGAAGTTATTGAAGCACAAACATTGTTTTCCATGTAAATTCCACCAAGAGCAGGAGGTACCAGAGCAAATATGTTCCAACAAAGGAAGCAAAGTTTACTGTTAGAAAGATCAGGTACATATGCTAAGCGTTTTCTTATGGCAGTGTTAGCACTGAATTTGTCATTCTTAGTTCTGTGAATGCATTTTACACATTGAATCAATTAGTATTTATTTATTATGATAATTATGATATGATTATAATAATCATTATATTATAATAATTATAATATCTACTCATCTTTAAAATGACACATTTTAATGCTCGCCATGCAAACTTTAGTATAGCACTTTAGAATAACAATAAAATCATAATTTGCTGTTAATTACAGGTGTAGATGTGTGTGTGTGTGTGTGTGTGTGTGTGTGTGTGTGTGTGTGTGTGTGTGTTATTTCATGTTGCACAAGAAGATAATGGACTTTGTCCTATGCTTGTATAATATGAAATCCGCTTCTTTGCAATGTGTGCAGGTCATCAGGTGTGCTCTTTCATGTACACATTCAGTGCCAAGAGAATAAAGGAAATGCCTAACAGCACAGTGACACAGAACATGAGATTGACTGATAACCCTCCATGCAGAGCAGCCCCATCCCATTATGCAACCCTCCCTACTTGTTTCTTAATATGTTTATTATATAAAACCCATTGTATTTGACTGCTTCACAGATTCGTTTGTAATGTGTATCAAAATAATTTGCATATTGATTAGTCAGACAGTAACAAAAAAACAGTAACCAAATGAAACTCTTTTAAATTTTTTAGCAATTGAAGATTTGCTTAATAACATGTTAGTTTATATACGCTACGATTATTTGCATAGCCTGACAACTTTAGAGTTTGTATTATCAGTTGTTGTCAAATTCTCATTTCTATAATTCTCAATCCTAAAAATAATTCTAGCTCAAATTGAGTCAAATACATTGTGTTTGTGCTCCCTCTAATGGTTGCTTTTGAATGGCATGCAGCTCCATTGCCTAGATTTGCTTTAATTATGCACTGTGATATTGGTCTTTGTGTCTGTAGATATACTTTCAAATAGCTGATCGTAACATTGAAGAAAGTGCAGAATAAAAGAGAGTATCATTGTATATAATTAAAGATCTGAACAGCATCAGAACAATTAGAGCATGTAAATGACCACAAAATAGTTTTTATTTATGCATTATTTTGCCTATATGTTCATATTATGCATTGACTTTTAAATCTCATTTTAGTTTAGCTTTTTCTTAAGCATACCAGGGGCGTCATGTTGAGATATTTTACAACTTTGAGTCATGCATTTGAATTGAACAATACATTCTCCAAATATTTTCATTTTCACAAAGAGTACAGTAGCACAAATACATGATTATACACATTCCAGTAATGCAGGACATACTGCAGGGTTTGCATAACCTAAAGAGGATAGAGAAAGTAAATACAGCATTTGGGGAATGAATAAAGAATTGGCAAAAGAAGAGAATGAAGGGTGAAATTTCTTGTTTGATTGTCGATGCATTTCACCCAGCACATTGAATCCAGATGGAGATGAGGAGAAAGAGCAAGTTAACAACTCAGAGTCTCTTGGGAATTTTGGCTACAGATTTGCTAGATCTTGCCATCACAGAGTGTATGGTTGATATACATCTGTCATGCATTATTGGGGGCCTGCCAAAGGTGCTTCTCTGGCTTTAGAAACTATGTCAGGAGTATTCGTCAGGAATGATGATCTGATTTGTATTTCTTCGACTGTTCATTCCATGTTAATTCACATTTATCCATTCTTTAAAGAAATAATACGTTGTAACATACATTACAATATAAACAAAGCTTAACCGAGTCTGGAAAGGCTTTGACCCTACTTCAAACAAACATTTTCTCCCAATCAGTGAGGATTGTACCGCTGGGGTCAGTGACTGTCTCTGTGTATTAAGAGGAAATTGCTTGATTTACAGTGATTTCAGCACATGTTTCGCAGAGCTGGAGCCTCTCCCAGCTTTCCAGACATTTTTAAGAGGGTTTCTGTGTCGGCCAAGTTGATTGGACATAAAATGCTGAGGTGTGCTGGACTAAGGTTTAACCCCTCTTGGGTAATCATCATTATATTACTGCATGTCCAATTTGGGTTCCTCGGGGTGCTTCAAAACAAAGCAGCCAATGCTTTCACACTCGGCTTGAATGCTGCGAGTCCAAGCCTCCGTCCCGAAGAGAATTCCCCCTGAAATCTTTATGGTGGGATAATTTGTTCCACATGCCAGAGCTCACCCACTAAATCACAGGGTCCCGGTAATCAATGCTTCCCTGTCTCATTATGGTGTGTTGTGCTGTCTCAGAGCAGGCTTCTGGAGGATAAATGTCCTCTTAGATACAGACAGTTCCTTAAAGTGTAAGTCATGTTCTGGATAGGCATCACCTAGCTGGGTATGTGTCCAATCAGATGCGGTCAGCGAATTGGCCGAGAAATTTACGTTGCAATTCGTTTGCCGAGAGGAAGTTCTTGTTTGCGTTTCTGTTTCTAACTATCTTTGTTGTTCTGTCTCCAAAGCAGAACTCTTTTAACACATCACTCAGATACTGTAATGCTGGAGGAACTCCTTTTCTTCCTCCCCTGCAGTTGATCTGCATAGCTAATGTTTTGGATTATTTTCCCATCTTTTAGGATTTGGCGAAAAGTATAATCACTCCTCGCCCTTCAAGTTGATCCAAAGTCGTTTAATGGACTGGATTATATTCCTAAAGACTCAAAGATCTGAGGCAGATGATAGTAAGACCATTTCCTCTGAAATCTGGAGCTTATTTCTGTGTAAAATGACCACGTGCATGTCAGTTCCGCCAGTCGTGTGTTTCCCAGGAACAGCTACTTCATTCACAGATAATTATACCTTGTTAATCCGTTTGTATGGCTTTCATTTATCTTAAGCCAATCTTAAGAGGTTGTTGTGATTACAACATCTTGATTTGTAAATGTAAATTTCCTGAGGTGCGCTATTTATATGACATAACATTCTTAAGAACGCATTGACTCTTGTATAATTGACATAATACGTATGCATGAGTAAACTGTTTGGAAGAGTAGAATATATTTAGGAACAAGGTCTTTAGAAGTGCAGAAGACATAAGCATGAAGTTATAGGATAAAGGCAGAATTAATGAATGTGGTGGGAGTTCTCCCTTCCCTTGAGGACTCTGTGAGATGAATGGTCTTTGTCCCCATTCACAGACTTTGGATGACATCCCTCTTGTTATAGCATTGTATGGTGATAAATGTAAAGGAAGTCCACTCACTCATTTATGAGACAGAACCAGCGTGGAACTAACGGTAAATCCGGCATTAACAAGCATTTTTTTCTACAATAGATAAAGTGCCACTTTGTGGCTTGCTGACCCACGGGCGAACTGACTGTCATGGTTATTGTTTCAAAATACACTTTCTCACCAAGTGGGTGACTCAATGGCTAGGACCACATCTCCATCTGCTCATAACCACCATTAGTCAAACATTAGTCATGACAACTTTGAGGCGTTGGTATTGAATTGATCATTTTCCATTTATTTAAACTTTGTACAGCAAAAAAAAAAAAAAAAAAAGTTTGATCAAATTTTATTGTTTTAATAATAAATAATAAATTTAATTTAATAATAATAAATAAATATTGTTTTTTACTGTCATAATTCTTTCTCTATATAATTTTAATTAAATTATTCTATATCATTTACAGAATTGTATTGCACTTTTTCTAGAAACTATTGGCAAAATGTTATAAAATATTTGCAAACATTTTCTTTTTATATTTCGTGGAACATTTGGAATATAGAAAAGAATATTATTTTGGATCACATTATCTGCCTTTTCTTCAGTTCTGTTCAAATAAAGTTATAATATCCAAATGAACAGACAGTATGTCAGATACAAGGGGTGCAGAAAGTGAGTTAAATTGTTACTTCTTCCAGTCAACTGTCACAGAATGGAATTGCTCAACTTGAAATGATTATCCATAACAAGGTTGAAGGTAAGATATTCTTCTGGCCCACAGGTCTTTTACAAGGAAAAAGATACTACACTGCTCTAGGTACAAGACCTGCTCGAAACAAGCGGAGGGCACAGACAGAAAGAAGGGAGGAATAAAACGAAAGAGGCAAAAATGACTTGGAACTGTGTGGGAAGACATGGGAGGAGCTTGCAAAGTATAAACTTGGATGTTTCCTAGCAGTGGAGAGCCTCAGCACGGTAAACGATGCCAAAAGTAGGCTAAATGAAGAGGACGAATGCATCGTCGCATTAACAGAACATTTGGCGGATATTTTTTAAAGTTCAGTCTTCTGGAACATCTGCGAGACGCCAGCAGCTCAGGAACTGACGCTGGGATCAACTCTTCGGGTGCACTGGAGCTGGACTCGGTGTGGCATGCGTGTCTCAAATATTCCCGCATAGTCCAAATACACTCTCTTGAACTAAAAGAAAGAAAGCGAACTTATTTCGTAAGATGATCTGCTTATTGTTTTTGTTCCACTGTGCTGCCGGCGTGTTGTCGTCTTCAACCCGTGAGTAAATGTATAGCTCTCTCTGTATGTGTGTTACATGTGTTCTTACGTACCTTCTTCATCGAATGGGGTTTGTTTCGGAACTTGAGGCGTTCAGTATTGAATTAAAATTAGTAAACAGAATAGAAAGAAAGTTAAAACTCTAATACAGTGTAAATTAAGTTATTTACAGCGATAATAAAACAAAATCCTCTTTAAGTGAATTTTTAAGTATCCTGCATCTGCAAAACACAATATTTTTATGTATAGGTCAAAAACGTGCCTGGGTTGTTGTAATGTTTATTGGATTAGTATTTTTTTTTTTCGGCAAAACAATGGTTTTTATTTTTTATCTAAACAAAACATCCATTTTGACGTAATAATCCTGACACATGCATGATGGTTTAGATAGATCTTCTCTGTGATATAAAATATTATTTTAGAGTTTTCATGTCACAATAAAACAAAATTGTCTATTTACATGTTGGTTACCCTGGACGTTAATCTGGTGGACAAGTTTTCCCAACATTGTAAGATCACTTTTCTTTTCTTTTTTACGGTCTCCAGAAAGTTACACCACATTAAGCCCCCCAAAATGTCAAAATGATGTAATTTTAACTGAGTTCATTTTTAGCTCAAAAGTTGGAAACATGTTCATCAGAAGGTAATTTATAGCTTTGCATTTGTAATGTATTTTTAATAAATTTAATAGATCCGGACGCCATTGACCTGTATGCAAAGTTTTAAGAAAACAGCATTCAGTGTTTTATTTACATAGCAATGCTGTTGTTGTAAATTGCCTGGTTCAACAAATTGAACAACTGATGATATCTGTATCGGCGCAACTTATTGCACTATATTGAAAAAGTCTGCTAGAGGTTAAAATTTCAAAAGGTCAGAGCATAATTCATTTAACACGTGGATGGTTCAGCCTTATGAACCACAACAAAACCCTGACATCATGCTTCTTATGCTTATTTTTGTAATGCATATGTGACAGAATTAAAAAGTTCACCTCAAATCAGCACTTATCACAGAGACGATGGATTCTGTTCATAGTGTTGGTGAAATATAGGTGTTTGTGAAAGTTTAATTTACTTTTAATGAATAGCAGAGAACAATGTAACCGGATCAAAGGGCATAATTGCGTTGTAAATAACAAAGGGCTAAATTATTAATAGCTATTGTGAAATACATTTACAATGCAAGCGTTTAGCACATTCCCCTTACGTGACATTCGCAGGTGTTGGTGGAGGGGAAGATTGAGACTAATTGCATCTAATTAAGTATTGCCTCATTCACACCCTCAGTGCCAGGCAGGGGATTAAGAAAGTGAAGTGCAATACAGCCACTGACAGAATACACTTCCCTCTCCTCTAGTTAACATTAAATGCAAAAGCGTCAGGCTGGCTTTTCTGGGCCTCAGTGAAATATAAACAGAGTTAAAAGGAAAAAAATGTGTAGACAGAAGTAACCCTTTAAAAGATCATTGTGGTTTAACAACACGGCCAGGAATGTCCAAAGGGTGGTCCCGCTGTTCACCGTCTCAGCGGTAAGATGTGCAGCCAGGCTTTACAGACTTTCTCTCGGCGTTGCATTAGTGATGACAGGAATACAGGCTTCTCTCATGAGACCTTCTGATCTGAAACCAAATATCTTAATGCTCATTTCCTATTCAGACACCTGCGTTAAATACTTGTAATTGCTCCTGTCATTAAATGGTTTGAAGTGAAATGTTTTTTTTAATCCACTTAAATCAAAACAGTATCTTGTAAAGACTGTTACAAAGTAATACAAGTCCATATCGTGATTCTGTTGCATTAATTCTGTAAGATAAAATTACTGATTTGTATCATTCCCTTTTGTTACGGAGAGAAATTTCACCCTTTCGGCGTGTTGAATATGTAATCTCTCTTTTAAGGTTAGTCTGTCTATCCATCTTGATGTAATTACATGTAATCACATGGCAGTTCCTTCATCACCTCTATTACTCAATTGTGCTGCACTGACACATTTTTTGAGGGATTCCACATTGTCACATTACAAGAGTGATAATGAAAAGGGTTTACAAAATAATATTTGTATGTGAGTTTCTGTTGTATTAATTATCTGGGATTGTTCAGTGCAGTGATAAATGTCAAATTTAAGAAACACTCAAAGAAATGACACCACTGGAACATTAAACCATATGTATATTTAAAGTTTGACCCTGACATTGTTTACACTTTGCTAGTTTCATATATTTTTTCACACATTAATGAAACAAACTAAAACCAATATTTAGTTTGCATATATTTATTTTCACGCTAAACCATATGTGTATTTAAACGCTGACCCTGTTAACAATATTTTTTACACTGTGCTAGTTTTATATCTTTTTTTCTCACATAACAAAATAACCTCAAACTAATATTTTATGTGCATAAATATATTTATTGTTCAATTATTTATTGTATTTGCATTCTGTGGTCAAATAATTTTTAATGAACACTAAAATGTGTGTATTTAAATGCTGATCCTGGTAAACACTATTTTTTACACTGCTAGTTTTATATGCCTCACATAACAAAATAATCTCAAACCAATGTTTCATTTGCATATATTAAATGTTAATTTATTGACTTTATGTGCATTCTGTGGTCAAATAATTTTTTAATGAACACTAAACAATAAGTGTATTTAAATGCTGACCCTTGCAAGCAATATTTTCCCCACATTGTCTCACAAAATAATCTCAAGCCATTATTTCTGGTGCATATATTTATTTAATAATTCCTTTATTTTATGTGCATTTATTTAGTTGTGTAGCTATCTAATAAGGGGGATAATGTACAGTCAGACGGACCATCTGAGTATAGTGTTCCCTTTCATAGTAAATGGATATTATCTCCTTTTGTGATCATCTTGCATATCCCACATTGCTCTGATTAAGGCTGTCACTATCAACTTTTTTGATGTGTTAGTCATGAGGTCGGTCTGTCTCCTCCTTTAACGTCACATAACGTGAGCTCACCCATAACCAGACAGCCCTTAATAACCGTGCTGCCTCTTTCCAGCTCTAACCTGCTATATCTCGCCCTCCCTCAGAGGTGGCTACAATCTACCCTCAAGACCCGGCCCTTCCCATCGGCTCCAGCCTGACAGCCACATGCTCAGTGAATCCAGACCACGGTGTTCACGCAGGCTCGCTCTACTGGACGCTGAACGGAAAGCGTCTTCCCAGCAGCACCTACAGTATTCTGAGCCCCACCGTGCTCAGCGTCACCTTCCCGCGGCTCTCCGGGTCCCGCCAGCGCTCCGGAGACAACCTCGTGTGCCATAACAGCGGGGGTCATGTGCTGGCCGGCTCCTGCATCTATGTTGGCAGTGAGTCCATCTACCATATTGTTCGTATTTACTCTAGGCTCCTGTACAACTACCGAGTGCGTTTAATTGGCGATTGTGCACGCAGTCCAACTTAAATACAATTAAATAGATTTTGTGGGCAAGCCTGGAGCCTTGGGGAATATGGGTCAGATGTGGAAGTATTAGACAGTCTTTATGATTTGACCCCCTGCCACTGAGCCACAGTTGTTGCAGTATTTAATGTTTTCTGTCTGTCCGCCAATGAACTTGAGAGTTGTTTAAGCCCCTTAAGATAGCTATCTGTTCCACTGTTATGCTTTTAGAACCTGTGTGTGGTCCATTATAGGCGCTTTCCTCGACTGACGCATATGACGGAACAAATGTACCGCATTTGTCAAGTTACATGGAATGGTGGCAGTATGGAAAATTACAAACACAGATACAGACACACACACACACAAGAGCGAGACAAAGTCAAGGAAGCGAGTTTCTGTCTGGTCATTTGGAAAAAAGATTGAAAGCCAGAAATGGAGAGACGTGGTTACGATAAGTGTGTGTTCAAAATGCTGATTTGGTTCTCAAGAAACATTTTATATTATTTGAAAATGAATTTGAATGTAAAGTGGTAAAACAGTGGTAAAATTGTTTCTGTCATTTTTAATCAGTTTAATGTATTCTTGCTTATATTTTTGTATTATTTATTTATTATTATTTATAGAATCACTTATAATTATGAGTAATTATATAATATATAGAATATAAAATTTTAGTTTAATGCATCCTTGCTATCCATCCATCCATCCATTTATATATAATATATAATATTATTTTTAAATAAAATTCAAATATATATTTTCAGTTTAATAAATTCACATCTCTTCCTTCATTTTTGTCATTTGTATTTTTTGTAATTCATAAACTGTTTCATGTTGACTTCAAACCAAGCAACTATTTTTGACAGATTTTCTGTATTAACTCAGCATTTACAGCATGTACCTTTAATGAAGTGTTATAAGAGGCTTGAGTCACTTTGCACTAACTCACTTTGACAGCTAAGTGAAAACTCATTGTCCTTGTCTGTTTTTAGTGCCTCCTGAGAAACCCGTGAATCTTACCTGCTGGTCCAGGAACACTAAAGACCTCACCTGCAGATGGGCCCCTGGGGGCCAGGGGGAAACCTTCATCAAGACAAAATACACACTCAAATATAAGCTCAGGTCAGTGCCACAGGTCATTCACACTCATGTCAATGCCTCTTCCCAAATTCACGCCTTATCTTGTTTGTATATGTCATGTTCTTACATGCCCATTCACTGGAGGACAGTGGAAGGATGTTTAAGGATGTCTCAAACCAACCATCTGTGCTAATCCCTCCTGATGGGCAGATGCCATACACTTTTTTTTTTTTTTTTTCACGGGGAAAATCCTATAAAATAATTTACTTCTAAATACTTCAAATTAGTCTAAACATTTTTTACGCATTTCAGTATTGTCTTTCACATTTTATTTGTTATTTTTATATTTATTTATATATATTTTTTAATTAATAATTGGCTTTCATGCCCAGTGAACAGATGGAATGCAAATTCCACACAGCAATTTTCACATCCCCATTCCCAAACCAGGAGCAATAAGCCTTAATTAAGGAATCATTCCCACATTTGAGACTATATGGCTTATCCACTGCCTCATAATTTAAAAAGACTCCATATAGGGAACCTGCAGGCGTATCACTACAAACGTATTGTGTCCAGTTATCAGTACGCATCAGAAAATAAACCTTATTCGCGCACCTGTAGGTGGTACGGACGAGAAAAGGAGTGTGAGGACTATAGTGCGGGAGAACCATATACATGCTACATCCCCCGTGACCTCGCCCTCTTCACGCCCTACGAGATATGGGTGGAGGCCTCCAACCAACTCGGAACCGCAACATCTGACGTCATCTACTTGGATATCTTAGACGTGGGTGAGTGTGCTTGACCTTTGACCACTTTTTAGGGACAAGCCCCAGGTGTTCTCCTCATGGAGGACCATGTGCAACATGAGAGCGCCACTCCTTGTAAAAACTGGGTGGAGGCGTGACGAATTGCAGCGGTCCGTCGCAGCGTCATCGGTATCCCTTTGCCTCATACAGCATCTACCCACCTACTCGCACATACCTGCAAAGCCTTGCAGCCCCCTCCTTTACAGACGAGTGGAATTTTTACAAAGTTTTCCGCTAATCCCAGTACCGGGACCTGCCTGGGGCTACTGTTTAGCAATGTGACTGGAATAGGGTGAAGTCTGTTTTGTTGAATCCTTAAGATCTTGTGTGCTTTGAGTGCAGGCCAAGCTTGCCCATAATCTCTTCAAACAGACATTTTAAACAACAAACATCTTCATAAAAATGGAATTAGTATTGTTAGGACTTAAGTCGGGGGGGCATTTTGTCTTGGCAAGACATTAGAAAGCATTTGAAATTAAATTAAAATACCCTGAACACAAACCGAAGCCCCCCATCCTCCAAAAGGAGATGAGAAAGGTTAAATCAGTGTAAATCAGTGTAACTTTACCTGAAGGGGGAGGCAGGGTGATTTTGAATGGAAAAAGCATAAGAGGAAGGTGGGTGCTCCTCCAAACATGCCATAGTTATGACACAGACACCACACCTAGTGCCTCCACCTCCTTAGCAACAGAGACAATGCTCATCTATGTTGCCAGCTAATTAAACAACAGCTTTAAGATCCAAGCAGACTACAATTACTTGGAATTTGAAGCGCTATCAATGCTATATCATTTTATAGCAGCCTGAATAAAAATGCAGGCAAAGCGGAAAAATACAGAACAATTAGTAAACTAGAATATCGGGAAGCAGCATATATTTCATCTCAGTTGAATCACAAGATCAAAAGTCTCTAGTCTCGGCTTGCAGACCGCACAAAGTTCGTTCACTGATCAGCTGGTGCATATTGCACACAAAACATGACAAAAGTGTGTGATTGGCTAGTTTTATAAAACTTACCGGAGTAAGTAAGCCACACAGGTTTTTTCGTAATAACAAACTTGAGACAATACCCTATTTTTTGTGATGAAGTAATTACAGGACAAAATTCACAAGGTTGGTGGCATCACAAATTTGTAGTGAGTGAACTAGATATCCATGAGACCAGAACTATAAGTAATTATAAAGTAATTTTATTCCGTGTTTTCTGAACTTATTTGTGGAGACTGACTTGACTTTATTTGAACCATTTTTCTTTCATACAGAGCTGAAATTCATAAACGAGATGCAGAATTGTTAGCGTATGATGCAGTAGATTTATATTCATTA